TAAGTAACAAAGACTTAACTATCATTTCATGAAATTGTCTTCACATAATTAGTATCTATATTCTCCATGTCTATATTATACTTATTTTTACCTAAAACTTTTCTAAATTTATAGATCCATATATAACTAAAATTACTACCTATAAGTTAAAGCCCTGATAGCTTTTATATCTGCAACTTTAAACTATTTTATCAAATTTTTTTTAAACCCTGACAGTAAGAAGGGTTGCTAGTAATTTCTAAACGAAGGTATTCGCTGGTAATAGAAAAAAAATAGGGGAGTATGAAAAGAAAAGAGAAAGCAACAAAGCAAAATGGTAAAAAAAGGCAGAAAAGGAAAATAAATAAAGAAACCAACGGCTGGGTTTAGCGAAGCAATATACTTTAATTCAGGAGTAAATCACGTAATCCCTCTTTTTAAAGTTGTAGACCTTATCGAAAATTGACCTGTCGTACAATCCAAAAATATTTTCAAAATGCTAACACATTTTTCATCGAACAACTCATTTATCCATCATAACCAAAATACCTAAGTGTTAGCAATTAATTTTATGCTGAAATGGTAAATTGTGGGAACTGCAAAAAACCTTTAAAGTCACCCTACATCTTATTTATCATCCATATGTATATATTATTATAGCCAGTATCTATTGCCAGGATTTTTGTAGGTTGACAACAGCTGTGTTACAAAATTGCATGCATTAAGGTTCAAAGGAAAACACAATACCGTTCTGATTTTAGTCCCTTGTCATATGATTCTGTACATCAGTCAGTAGATGTACGGCGATGTAACCTTTTCAAGTAACGGTTGTTGGTTGTTTTTATTCATCTGAGGGTTTGATTTAAAAAATGATGGGCGTGAATTAAAAGTAAAAAAAATAAATAAACAGGGAGAAAATTTACATCTTGAGTTCTCTTTGTTGATAATTATTCGCTTGTCAAGCTAGAGGAGACACATCATAAATCACCATCTTTGAATAAATTATTATCAAAGAAACGCCAACTTATCCAACTAACTGTTGAAATTGAAATTCAAGAAGAGCTCGTGGTTTTTCAAGTTCTGTTTGTCTTTCTAGCGACGACATAATGTATGTTTTGTGGAAGACTCTCAACACGTCGAGGCGAATACTAAATAGCATTGCAAGGGTCAAAGTGAAAGTTTTTTCTTAACTTACCGGTGTCATATTTTTATATGAAAACCAGTCAAGTAAATATGTAGCCAATAGACGAAAAAAATCTTGGAGATTTTAATAGAAGAAATAAAAATATAATATCTGCATTATTTGCAAATATTACAAATTAACCATTCATTATTTATGATAATTTTTATAATTGATTTTGCTATATTATCTAAATTTTATTATTTACAAGTTATATCAATGTATTAATATTCAATTCTTTTTATACCAATTTAGTAATTATGTTTGATTCTTAACTTACAAAAGCTGTATAATAACATGAAAATTTAAAGTCAAAACTTACTAGTTATGTCGTATAAACTATAAATATATAAAGTAATATTATTTTACACTAAATATAAACTTTATATAATCTACATCTTATTTCAATATAAAGAAAATTCATCCAAAAATTATTATTCTTTTATTTTATTACTAATGAAATATGTATCTATTATAAAACTCTTTTCACTCTAAAACATTTTTTAAACAATTAATTTATCCTGAATACAAACGACTAAAACGTTATGAAGATGAAACTCACTACATCTTAATACAAAATTAAATTGAGAAAATTGCTCTTAAATAGAGCAATCTCACATAATTAATTCTCAAACCTAGACTCTCAATTGTGTTAGCATGTAATTTTCGACGCACTATGCCGACCCGAAGGATTGATAGGCGAACTCGGATCTATTGCAATGTACTTACTAATGGGATTACGTAAAAAGTGAGGACGCAGTTGTTGCTTCAAGGGGAGCCTACATGGCAGTTTTGTTGGATAATAAGAAATTAGTGGCTAAGGAAATCGATTTCAGTATTTGGTAATACCCAAGTGGGTATAAGAACCTGTTCTAAATTGTCTTATTTTCATATTCTATTTTATTATATTGATCATTCTAGATTTCACTGAGTCAAATGGATTTGACAATTAAATATTCTATGATTCTAAAAATTAAGTCTGAAATTCTGAAATCGTTATTAAAATTAAATAATTAGGACGAAAATATCGTTAATTTAAAGGATACATGCTAATTGCCATCAATAAATATTTAGAGGTCTTGAATATATCTTGGAAGAAAAAGCTTACCGAATGGGGTAGAACATAATTGAATGTAAATATGATCAAAAGTTTGTCGAAAGTCACTGAAATATAAATGACCAGGGGAGTACAAATAATGCTTTATTTGCAGTTTTTACTTCTAAAAGGGAGTTTGATATCACTCACTCCAATATTCTTTAATTCAAGTCTCAACCTTTGATATCAAATCATGCTTCCTCCAAAAATCAATTGCGTAAATTCGAATTAGCAAGTTATAAAACTTCTTATCAAAGGGAAGAAAACTTTGTACTTTAGGTACAAAATTTATAAAGATTTTTTTATGCTTCAAATTTACGAGAAAAAATTTACTTTTTAGTGGTATCATTATGTGTGGATATGTCAATAAGAATTTTACATAAAAATAAAAATTCCACATCATATTATTTCTTTCACTATCTATCTAGAACATCTATTGATTGTTCCTAGTTCATAGTTATGGGACTGTTTAATTTCTTTGAATCAGTGTAATGTAGCATGAAATTATCTAAAAGTCTCTATTTCTTCTGAAATTGAGCGTAAAATTCTGCAGATTTCTTCGAGTCTTTTGTTTACCAAGATGGTGAATAGCTGGATAGCAATATGCTCGTCCTCTTTCTTGTGTTCTCTCATAGAACCAAAATCTGCAGAAATATAGTTATAATTCATAGCACTTGAAAGCTAACAGTTGTGCTTGATGATTACAATACCTTGCGGTGCCCCTTCAGTCAAAGTCTACAGGCTATTTACTTAGGATTATATGCTAATGTGATTTTGATCAATTAATTACAAACTAAACTCTATGGAAACCGTCATTACAAATATAATTATGATGAATAAATATCTTTCCATAGATGCAAATGAAAGAAAAATATTTTGTTTAATTGAAATCTAACGAATACATAAATAAGATCAATCTATGGCGTAAGTAATCACGTTAAATTTATAAATATTTTCCAATCAAAGCTATCCTTTTGTTTGATCTTTTCCATCATAAATTGGTTGATCGAAAATTATTTATTATATTTGTATATATAAATGTAAAATAATGAGTAAATAAAATAATATTCTTTCTCAAGTTGATATGTCATTTATTAGTTAATACAATTTCAAATAGAAAAATACATTTTTTCGATTTCATAAAATTTTAAGGAATTTCATTGATATGTGGTATTTAAAATGATTGAATTCGCCAATGCTACCTTTAGTATGATGAAAGTGTCAACAAAAACATTATAAAGTTTACATTTCATTAACGTGAAATGCATGAGTCTAGCGTTGTATTCTCAACACCTCACTGTTTACTTATTCTTCAAATGGTTCATTAAGGCTTCTTTAATCGGTATTAAAGCGTTTTGAAATGCAGGATGTTAACTCTTCTTCTCTTTTGTACACAATTGTCGTTTAATGGTCTTGTAGCGATTATTCGTATTCTCTGAACTCATTAAAAGCGAACTTTACGTAAATAATGAAAATACCACTGTGGAAAAAGACATTGTAATTAGAACAGTCTAAAAGAACTAAAATTTCTTTTAGTGTTGAATTAATCATATTCGCATAAATGAACATTCACATATCAGTGGATACATGAAGGACTTATCTAAAATAAATCCTGTCAAAAATCTTTAACTCGTCACAGAATTCCTTTCTTTCAAATGTCACCATTAATTTCGATTTAACAAATCCGACTTCGATATATGATATTTTTTTTTCTTCCAGTTCTGTAACTTCTGTAAAACTTGTAAGGCTTGATAGTCTAACTCAAGTTTGATGTTGGCAATCAGAGAACTAACTTCTCGTTGCAATCGAACTCAGTTCAAGTTCAGATAAGAAGATGTAAATTATACTCAACATCTATGCTGGTTTCTGTGAAAGAGGTTTATTGCTTCTACTAGCTTGCTAGTTCGTGATGGTGCTGGTGTCAAGTGAGTTATGTGCTTGAGACAGCTTAGTTTTTTTGAAGGCTTCAGGGTACTTGGAATATGTACTAACAAATTATATACATATATTTTGACGGGTAATTGCAAATAAAACAGAGATTATCTAGAAATTATTGAGTACTGCTGCACCTAGTAACATAAATGACATCAGACAGTAAAGTCGTTTTCAGTATATTTCTTAGGGCAGTGTATCAGTCGTTTTAATGGACCCATTTCTTTTTTCTTTCATTAGCAACTATATTTATGGTTCGCGAAACATCTTCATCCATATTTAAGCGCCGTTCTATAAATCATGATTCTACAACGCCAGTCAGAACCCGCCCAAGTCCGCAATTGATGAGACTGATTATTTTTTCTCCTTAACAGAGGTTACGATCTTCTTAAACCAGTCGATGAGTTTTCTGTACCTTGAAATTACTTGTGTCGTACATAATGGAAATTTAATTTACGTTAGGCATATTTGCTATAGAGTAGCCTTTCATATGATACATATTCTGTTGGTGAAAAAGCTGTTTTGTACAATAACTATCAATAACGTAATTTAATTATTCAGTTTACTATACACTCAGGTTATGAATTACGCCTTTTATGAACTCCATGGTAACTTATCTTACACCTTGATCAGCGTAATCAATATTTTTAATAATGTATCACTAAAAAATTCCTTAACATCGTGATCATAGAAATAATAACAAAGCATAAAATTATCTAGAATTACACTTTCTTTCTTTTACTTTAGTTTATCGAAAAATTATGAAAACCTTTATGAAAAAATGAGTAGAAAATAATAATTGTGATTCTGTCGTTACTGCTTTTCATTTATTTGAAAATATTTTTGTTATTAAGTGACAAATTCTTGTGTAAATAAAATTAACTTGAGCAGGTGAAGCTTTAATGAAAATTCCACCTTCATTATTTACGGTTCGAGTTTTACTGAAACTCCCTAAACAATTGGATCCCGCCCATTCGTAGTTTACACGCACGATAAAGTGTCATTGAATATTCAACAGTGTATGTACGATTTATAGACAACATTACTATTTAACGAATATTGTAATTGTAAAGTATTATTTTAAAAAAAGTTTTGTACATGTTTTAATTACTTTCGATCTAGATAGGCTTATTTGTATACATGTAAATCTTGAATTGTAAGCACAATCAATCCGTTGTTAAATAAGTCAATTAGTTTTAAAATTGCACTGATTCATCATTTTCATTTATGGTTTCAATTTTTTATCATGATTTCATTTAATAGAACAAAATAGTGGATGAAAATTTTTTTTGTATTTTTTGATTCAAAACTTGAGATTTACAGATGTAAACTATTACTCTGTTAAATGAGGGGAGTAAATTGTATTTACTTCTATGTTATGTTTGAGAAATCTCAATTATTACTCTTACGTTTCTAAATATCTGATGATCTAGATCTCTCACGTTGAGAACTTGAAGAGCAGCTTATTTTATTTTTATTAGATGAATAAGATATAGATGGACAAGGTTCATATACCGTATCATTTGAATCACTAGAATCCCGTCGAATTTTATATCGTTTTCGATCACTGAAACAATTAATCAATTGTATTTTTATTCAACATAATGATTAAAAAAATGTGTTAAATGATAACAAAGAATAAAAATGAAATGTCAAGTAATAATTGACGATACTTTTCATGGTTTTCATTACAAGTGAATCATGGAAAATGCTTACCTGCAGGTATGCATGCATTCGTTTCGTCTTTTTTGAAACCACGATTTAATTACAATTTCTGAGACCTCCATTTCTTTAGCTAGTTCTCTTCTTTCTGTATGAGTTAAATAGTTAGTTCTGTTGAATTTAGCAATTAATCGTTTTTCTTGATCCTTTGTTAATTTTTCAATTTTTACCTTTTCATTCCTGTAGATAGAAACGATATTTCTCAAGTCAGTAATCATAACTTTTTTATTTTATGTAAAGTATTTTCATAGTTATTGAAAAATATGGTACTTACTTTAAACTACAATCAAGTTTTTGTTCTGCATTGCTTTCTAATCTTATTTCTTTAACATTTTCTGTGTTATTTTGTCTATGAGTTATATTTTCAAAGATCACTGATACTTCATTCCGATCAGAATTTCTTTCACCAATTGTTTCAATAAGTGTCTTTAAATTTTTAATAAGATCCCCAGAATTGGATATCGTTTGTGATCGAGTCAATTCTTTAAGCTTATTTTGAATGTAGCTAGCTACTGCATTATGTTGATCAAGAAAAGCTTCCAAGCATTCTTCTTTCAAATACCCTACAAGAAATTTTATGTTTTAATTTTTTAAAAGGATAAAATAATTAACCCTTTCTCAATGTCGTGTTTCTGTAGGCATAGCTTCATGCGGTGACGAGTAAAATACTCACGCATCCACGCAACACGCCTCTCGGCCAACGGTTTGAAGTTCGTATATTTATCCGAAGTCACCCGAAGTTTAGCCGAATATCGAAATTCGTGCCTCCTTGTATAGTGCGGTGACGAGTAAAATACTCACAGCATTTTTTTAAATCACTATTTTGATTATTTTATATTAGAAAAATGGCCTTTTAATTAGTTGTATCTTGTAAAAAATCAAATTTTAGGAAGATACTCGAAGTATCAAAGGGTCGTTTCATTTGAAATTTTAAAAATATAGAAATTAGAAAATGAACGTGAGTAAAATACTCATAGCGACAATAAGAAAGGGTTAACGGAACAAAGTCAAAGTAAATTTAATTAAATTTTTTTACTTGCCCAAAACTAATCGTGCTATTTCCGATGGAAAGAGTGGTTCCATTATTGTAAATAATATTTCTGTAGTAGACTTTAATTTTTATGTTATTCTACTGCCATAAATGAGACAATAAAATCCATTTACTATACTGCGTTTCGACGATGTGTTTTTCACTGAGACGTTACATTTATTTCTTTATACGATATGTAAAAGATGTAAAAGACTTCGAAAAAAATCATACACATAATTTCTTTCTAGAACTGAAGTAACAAGAAGTTGAAGTATAGAAACACAGACTATATATGAGATATAAAAAAAAATCACGTTCAGAGTTAAGAGATTAGTGATAAGAGGCTTATCACTGTTTCGAGAAACCATGCTGTGTACGTGTGCACATAAATACATATACAAGATATACAATGTATGTATTTATACCAGAAAGCAAGGATATCAATGATTATCGATGTACTTCTGCATAATTTTTATAAAAATTTTTTAACTTCCCATTAGGAAGTTATTGTAATTGGGTCGATTGGTGAAATTTGAATTTTCATTAAATCTCCACGTTTCAAGATATTTGTAAGCATACTGACATATTTGCATGTATGTATGTATGTACGGACGTCAGCATTTTTTTCGTTTTCGATATCTTAAGAACGGATCAAGATATCAACTTGAACCAAAATTAATTCGAAAGAAGATCTGAAAGAAATTTGAACGAATTCGATCGAGCCGTTTTTTTTATAACAAAATAACTAAGAAAAAAAATGAAAAGATTAGCTATTTAAAATACTTTTAAGCCAAACAATTACATTTGAAAATTAAATCAATATTGACAAGACATTATTGTTCACAACCAAGTATGACTCTTAACAATCACGCATTGTTTATAACAATATGAATTTGTTATAAACAATTGAAAATTGGATGTATCGATTAACTGATGCGTATATCACATGAATTTGGATGTTTTCAACAAAATAATATTATTAATGATGAAATATGACTCGTAAAAATTACATATTGTTTATAATAATACGAATTTGTTATAAACAATTAAAAATTATATTTATTGAATAAGTAACGTGTATATCACATGTATTTGGATGTTTTCAACAAACATTGATCACAACTATTTAAATTTGTTATAAACAATTACTAATGGGGAGTTCGTCGTGTTAGCACAGACAAAGTGTGCTCAGACCTATTTTTATCAATAAATTTTTATACAATGATAAAGTTTAGTAAATAATATCTATGTATTTACCGAATTTTGTAGTTCTCATAATGCTATAATCGTTCGTATTTAATTTCTCTTCAACTAAGATTCGAATAATTATGTTCTCTTCCTTTCCTTAAGGACTTGCATTTACAAAATATTTTCTTTCTTTATAAATATGTGATGATTTATGCTACAGCAATAAGACCAATTGACCAAGTAGTAGTAAGCATTTAATGCAATGCATTAAAAATTAATTCTAATTGTTTTTTTTTACTTCATGGGTACAAATGGAATATGAGCATCGAAAGTGATAATGTAGTTAAACAAGATACATAATCTTAAGTATAAAAGTGAAATTTTTTTTCGTAGTTCTCGAATATTTCAAAAAAATTTTTATGGCAGAAACGTATTATCCTTCAAGTTGCTCTGCAAGTGCCTTCGAAATGGACGTTAGCTTGAAGCAGCAATAAGAAGAGGAAACTGAGACGATATATTGCTGAGGCGCCAGCTAGGCATAGATCCTGATTTATACATCCAGCACGTTCTCTTAGTAATAACAATACCTTACTCTTATACGTCAACATCAACAATATAGGAGACCGCCCACGTGTTACTTCAGTTTATCAGCATCATTTTGCAAAGTTGTGTGCTCTTAGGTTTTTAAATGCCTTTCTTAGAATTCAAAAATAGTATTAATTTTGAAACAATTTTATAGTTTTAATGAAACAGAATCAATAAAAATTTTTTTCTTGATCAATTAATCCATTATATTGATGATAAGAGTTTTATTAAAAAAACTTATGCAGATGAAAACTATGGAAATTGTACTTTCATTACTTACTATTTGTGTGAACTATTTTCTGATTTACAAATGTTAGTCACAATACTCTACTGTCCCATTATCTTTAGAAAAACCTTTAAAATTGGTTAACAGTCATCATAGTGTTATTATATCTTTTTTATGGATTACTTATTATTGCGCTCAATTCAACAGGATTCTGACAAATTGTACTTCGTGTTTTTGAGCGATCTCTGAAAAAATTTATTTATGACATTTAATTTGATTGTAATACTATGAAAATTAAATTCGATAATAACAAATAGTAAAGCCAAATTGAGACTAACAATAAATGACACTCTTTTTTGTAAAAGAGATTAGAAGCACATGACGAATACTTACTTTTCGTCATTTTGCTTTCTTTAAAACCACTGTTGAATTTACACTTCTTCAATTTTTGATTCTTTCGCTAATCCCTGCTTTTGTAGACCTCCTACATATTTATTCAGCTTATGTACTTCATTTCATATACTTTTTTGTTTAAATACCTGTTAACGGTATTTGTACAAATAAGGAGATGTAGCTACAAAACAGGCTACAGCATGAAGACATTCATCTTGCAAATATCCTAAAATCATTCTTAAGTTATTGATAATTATTTAAAAAGTTGAAATTTCATTAAAAACATTTTTAATGATAAACAGAAGTCAATGAAATTCAAGTATTTACTAGATTTTATAACTTCTACAATACTAAACACATATATTCTCAATTTGTCCTCAATCAAGGTTCAAATATTCTTCCCTTTTAAATCACATTTACTATGATACTTATAAGTATCATTAAATTTATATACATGTAAATGTCATCATTTCCTATAAATATATCATGGTTTGTACAACATTCCTATAACTAAATTTTTGTTTTTTAGAACTTCTGAAAACAATTGCACCACGAGTTTATAAATCCTGCTGATTTGTGCGAATTTCTATCATTTTTTTGGTTGTTAGATAAACTAGTGCTAAAATGTTGCTCGCCTATTATCTCCATTGACATCTTTTCGATTATTCATCTATCACGTTGATATTTTTTCGCTTATTGTATATTTTTATAAATAAAACAAATTTTCATGATTTTATTGGATTATGCCGAACTGTGTGAAATCTTTTTTACATTAGTATGTTGATTCAAAACTTCAAAATTATAGACCATTACTTTGTTGAATGTTAATTATATTTACACTACAAGGGAAGAAAGTTTGAGTTTCCTTCCCTGCGCACCATCTTGCCCGAGGCTTCGCCTCGGGCAAGATGGTGCGCAGGGCAGGGCTCTCAAACTTTCTTCCCGTGTAATGTATACTATTTTTCTTGCTACCCGGTCGAAAGTACGGAACAATGACATGTGTTAGATAATAGATATTGATGCCTGCCCCGACATTTGCAGCATGAGCGAAGCGAGTGTTGCTGGTCGGGGGCAGGCATCAAATCAAATACTTCTACAAATAGAGCTTACATTTTGTCGGCAGATTTCTTTGGTAGAGTATCATTCTGCACAATTAATTGTGCTTCCGCATCAAAATTCTTAGTGACCTCTTCTTCATCACTAGACTCGTCGGACGATTCATGCATTTTTTTACTTCTTATACTTTACTTTACTTTCACTACACTTTATTGATTACAACTCTATGAGTATAATTTATTAATTAAAATTAGCGTTTAATGAGTGTGAACAAAATGTGAGGTTATATCATTGCAAGTAAACGTCGAAGTTATGGATGCACGCGTCGCGGGTTCTAGTGGTAGTATTATAGAGGGGATATTTTTACGTATGTATTGTGTGTCGGTGTACGCGGCTAAATTTTTACTCCCGCTATGCTAGATGGCGCGCGAACAGCTTGACCAAGGAATAAAAATTAGATTTTCTTCTCTGAAACCAGGGATCAAAATACGTACTTTCGACCGAAGTAGTAAGAAAAATACTATTTATCTTCTCTATTTGTTTTAGTTTTTGATACAAATCTACTTTAATTGTTTTGATACAATTTTTTCTATTGATAATCAAGTAATGTAGTGTTAATTACGTGTATGCTACCCTTTATTTAATATTCAAAGCACATTTGGGCACGATTATTATTAAAATGAAAATCCAGGTCTTATGAGTTGAGTACTTGAACTTGGAGAACAAATATTTATCTCATTTTCAATGAATGCTTGATACGTTGAGAAACCTGGCTCACATATCATGGCACTTGAATCAACAGGGCAGCTTGTATTTTGTACTTTTTGACGTTCTCTAAGAAAATCAATTAATGGCAATTAATTAGAATATAATAAATATCATGTCAGAAACTCTCACTGCTCTTATAGAAAGTATGTTAAAAGTACCTATTCTCATGATCTCGCTTTTTTTGAAACCATTGTTTTACTTGCATTTCTGTGAGTCCTGATTCATCAGCTAGGTTTTTTCTTTTTAAACCTCTTATATAGTTACTACTTCGAAATGCAGAGTTCAATATAGATTCTTGTTTTTTAGTCAATGTCAAATGAATTTTCGATTTTTCAATCTTTAAATTATCATTTCTATAAACGGAATTAATAATCTTTAAATTAGTTATAATCGTATTTTTTTTAATACTATTATCTTTATACAATTCACAATACTTACTTGGATGTTTTACTTTGTTTCTGTTTATCAGTTGATTTTATCCCTTTTTTAAGAATAATTTTTTCTAAATTTTTAATGACACTTCCAGGACTGCATTCTGCTTTTGATCCAAACATTCCTTTAAGAATATTTTGGATATATGTAAGAATACCGCAATATTGTTGTAGAGTGCTGATCAAAGTCATGCCATTTATTGAAATACTTGAGATTTTATTTTGAAATATCTGCAAACAATATTCTGATAAATTTGAAGATTTAGCGGCAAAACTGACTGCTGCATTGGGAGATTCTTTTTGCACGTATCCTACAATTAATTTTTATAAGTTTTCATTATATACTTCTTATAAAACAGTAAAATATAATGTTTAAATCTTGTATACATATAATTATACTTACCTAGAACTAATTGTGCATCTCTGGACTTTTCATTCTCTGTATTTTCATTGCTGTAAATAAATATAATAATAGTTGTCAAGTCAATAATCATCATTTTTCATATTATGTTATCTTCATGTAAAAATTTGATACTTACTTTCCTATCTTGGCATTATTCACTCTACTATCATAAAGTGTTGTTATGTCATTTTGATCGCGATCGAGTAAATTCATTTTGTTAATGATT